GCAAGGACTTGGACGGTAACCTTCTCACGAACGAGTGTGAGGTGATTGAGAGGTGGAAGCAGTACTATGACGAGCACCTCAACGGTGAAGCAGCAGAAAACGAAGGTGGCACGGCAACAGACCTTGAAGCACGCGCAGAAGACGACAGGCTACCGGCCCCTGATCTTCAAGAAGTTGAGGAGGAGATCGGTCGGCTGAAGAACAACAAACCAACTGGTGAAGATCAACTACCAAGTGAGCTATTGAAATACGGTGGTGAAGCACTGGCTAGAGCGCTGCACTGGGTAATTGCCAAGATTTGGGAGGAGGAGATATTACCGGAGGAGTGGATGTAAGGTGTCGTATGCCCAATCTACAAAAAGGGCGACAAGTTGGATTGCTGCAACTACCGCGCGATCACACTGCTGAGCGCCGCCTACAAGGTACTCTCCCAAATTCTATGCCGCCGTCTGTCACCATATGCAAGAGAGTTCATGGGGCAATACCAGGCGGGATTCATGGGTGCCCGCGCTACCACGGACCAAATTTTCGAGATTCGGCAGCTTCTGCAGAAATGCCGCGAATACAACGTGCCCACACATCATTTGTTCATCGATTTCAAATCCGCATACGACACAATCGATCGAGATCAGCTATGGCAGATTATGCACGAGTACGGATTTCCGGATAAACTAACGCGATTGGTCAAGGCGACGATGGATCGAGTAATGTGCGTTGTTTGAGTATCGGGGACACTCTCGAGTCCCTTTGAATCTCGAAGGGGGTTACGGCAGGGTGATGGACTTTCGTGTCTGCTGTTCAACATCGCGTTAGAAGGTGTGATCAGAAGAGCTGGGATAGACACGAGTGGCACGATATTCAGGAAGTCCATCCAGCTTCTTGGCTTTGCCGATGACATTGACATTATGGCACGGAACTTTGAGATGATGGCGGAAACGTACATCAGACTGAAGGCTGAAGGTAGACGGATTGGACTTGCCATCAACGCATCAAAGACAAAATACATGAAAGGAAGAGGTTCTAGGGAAGACAATGCTAGCCTCCCACCCCGAGTTCAGATTGACGGGGACGAAATCGAGGTGGTCGATGAGTTCGTGTATTTGGGCTCACTGGTGACCGCCGAAAATGATACCAGCAGAGAAATTCAAAGACGCATTATGGCAGGGAATCGTACCTACTTTGGATTCCGGAGGACGCTCCGGTCGAACAAAATTTGCCGCCGCACGAAGTTGACTGTCTACAAGACGCTGATTAGACCGGTGGTCCTCTACGGCCACGAGACCTGGGCTATGCTAGTGGAGGACCAACGCGCCCTTGGTGTTTTCGAACGGAAGGTATTGCGTACCATCTACGGTGGAGTGCAGATGGATGACGGCACGTGTAGGAGGCGAATGAACCACGAATTGCACCAGCTGCTGGGAGAACCATCCATCGTACATTGCAAAAATTGGGCGGCTACGGTGGGTTGGGCACGTCGTAAGAATGCCGCACGACGACCCAGTGAAAATGGTTCTAGAAAGCGACCCAACAGGAACAAGAAGAAGAGGCGCGCAGCGAGCAAGGTGGATCGACCAAGAAGAAGGCGACCTGCGGACCCTTCGCAGACTACGAGGCTGGTGAAGTGTGGCCATGGATCGAGTAGAGTGGAGACGACTTCTTCGGACAGCAGAGGACAACAAGGCCTTAGCCTGATTGGTAAGGTAAGTAAGTCAAAATCTTACCGAGTATTTTAGCTGTTCTGATTTTGGTAATGTTTGTTGAGGTCGGGTATAGTTTCTGAGTATGTTGTTTTTGGATTCCCATTTTGAAATAACTTAGATTAGCGCAGAGTAATAGTTTTATTGTTAGGGAACTTTCTTTTGGGATCGTCTTTTCTTCATACAATTCTCATTATTTATACTATATTAATCATGATCAGTCTTAGAAAATTTTATATGTTTGAGTTCAGTTCTAGATTAGTTTGTTATTAATATCATTTGAATTGCACTCGCAAGAGGTTACCAAACCTGGGTTCTCTTTTTCATCCATAATAATTTGGGGGGAGGGGAGTGAAACGTTGCGATCTAAGAGCGAAATAAAGGCTAATAAAATAGGGAACACAACACCATGACCCAAACAATTAACCAACGCATGCGGCTAACACTTCACTTGTTCTATTTCTTTCTATTACTTTCCTCTCATGAACCAATATAAACTTTCTGAGAACAAATGAGAACACGGCCAAATGATCAATAGGAAGGAAAAAAAGCGAGAAAGCGGGAACAAGAAAAGAAGAGAGTAAGCAGTCAGAAAGGATCACGTTGGTTGGAGACAGCCAATTTATACTGGACGAAATGGTAAATATGATAAGAATTGTGAAAGGTGTGTGCTTGCATGATTTACCTATTTTTGAATTACCTACAATCCACATAAGAACCTCATTTCCTTCAATTACTACTCCATCGCAGCTCAACATTACACACTCAGCGACGATTTGCGTGTTCGGTAATTTTTCACTGGAAAAAAACTGTAAATGCAGAATATTACAGATTTTTCGGTAAAAAAAATAATTTTACCAATATTCGGTAAAGTTTAAACGAAGTTTCGGTAATCTGAATTTTTAATTACCGAACATTGTAAAAAAAAATACAATACGATCTGTAAAATGTAGTAAATGCCGAATTCGGTAAAAAATCCGTTTACCGAACTTCGGTAAATTCAGACTGTCAAATCGTGGGTCGGCTTTTTTACACATAACCGCAAGCTGAGAGAAGTGAGACCAGTGAAAGTTGTCTAATTTTTTATCATAGAACAGGTATGGAAGCAAATACAAGACCAGGATGAACGCATCACTGACGTGGACGTGGAATGAGGGAAGCGTTTGAAATGTTGATCAAATCGTTCTTCGTTTTTGATACTGTACCGGCACCGTCAGACAAACAATTCTTCCTATTCTTCGGAGCAATGATTAGCGTTGAAACTTTGTCTACAACAGGAACAAAATTTATGCACGCCCTCCCCATGGACATGGAGGTTGACGGTACTGAAGCAAAGGGTTATGTTTAATTTCTTTATATTTGCAACGATGATGATTTTCTATAGTAACACATATCACCTTCTTAATGCTTCAGTATGCCTCAAACGATTAATTCTTGGTTGTTAATAGAACTTCCTTGATGAAATCGGCTGCTTCATGCAGACTGAGCAATTCTGATTATAGTATCAGATTTGTTCTGTATACAGAGGAACTGGGAGGGCTTATTAAAAACTTCTCACCAATAAAGTAATGATCTTCTTGTAAATTTTGCATATAATTTTATTAATATTTTATTTTATTTAAGCATATTATTTTTGTTACAGTCAATTTGCATTAGCATATGATACAAGAGATTTAATATTACTTGCTCGTTTTTGCGTAAAATAATCAATATTTATTTTACTTGTAATTACCTTTGAAAATTTTTTTCAAGTTTTTTTTTGTGATCTGAAAATTTACCCAGTTTGGTTAGAAGTTTCGAAGCTAACGCATGTCCACAGGCCTAATAGAAAGATAGGCAGAAAAAGTGTATCATGAAGAATGGTTGCATGCAGGGTTGCTTCCACTCACTTGCTATAGATGAGTGATTTTCGGAGTTTTGAATTCGTTAGATGTTGTAATGGAGATTTGTGCTGTTGGATGCGGGAGGAGATTGGAGGGCGGGTGTTTGACGCATAGAGCCTGTCAATTTCGCTTTCAGAGTGTCGCAGTCGGCGGTTTTATGATTCGTGGGCGCTCGCGATTCGTAGAATCGTTGATTGTGACTGACGGGTTTTGTGTGTCGGACGTTTGCTTTTTGGCCTCTTCTTGTGTCTAACATGTGCAGAGTATCATTATAACGCCTAATGGTTTTGAGATTCCTGGTGGCGTGAAATATATTTGTGAGAATATCTTTTTGAAATTTTAGCAGTCACGTTTTGTTTGTAGTTTATATTTTATTTATTTCATGTAATTATCGTTAATAATAGTTATTCAAAGCGCTGTGGATTATAAGATGCTCGATGACCCTCGAGGGATCGATTTTGCTTACTGAGCAGAAAATCATGGATTCAACCCCAAGCTCTTCCACAGCACAATAAATCGCCACCATCATTTGTATATTTGATATTGAACATTAACCTCGGAAACTATTTGCATATCAAGCGAAAACGTAGTCCTGTATTGTCGCGAAGCGTTATGGTTCTGAGATGCTCGATGACCCTGGAGGGATCGTTTTTGCTTACTGAGCAGAAAATCATGGGTTTAATCCCAAGCTCTCCGTCATGACTCTTAAAATTCATTATCACTAAACAAAATGAATATGTTCTTTCGATAGCCGGCTATCGAGAGATTAAATAAACAACAAATAAACAATACATACTTTTGGTTGCATCGCCAACTTGAGGTGAATCCTAATCGAATACCCTACCCAACCCTTCAACTCCGTAGCACTTATGAGGGTGTCGCTAAGTCGGTGGCCTCTCGTTAAGTAAGTACTACATCAACATTTCCTTCCCTATCCCTAGTTATGGTAAAGATGGGCGTGGCCGGGAATAGCGACAGTCATGCTTCTGTTACTCTTGTTTAGATTGGAACCAATGTTTACTCCTCAGCATTATTCCTGAGAGTAGTCTAACTGAGAATTTCAGAAGAGACGTGAGTGTCGCTAGTATCCAATCTACGAAGTATATCATAACAACGCTAACGCTAACGCTAACGCAAACTCTAACGCTAACGCTAACGCAAACTCTAACGCTAACGCTAATTGGCCTGTGTAGAAACTGATACCAATAAAAATTAAAACAACTATTAAGACCTCCTCCATCTAGAAATAATAACAAAAAAGAAATTATACTGTGTAACAAAGGTTCAATTCACCTGCCCGAAGGATCAATATGGGTTTTAACTTTGGAATTCGTAGCTTCGGCTTGACATTTTCTCAGTGCCTACTTTTTCCCCATATGGGACTGACATGCGATTATTGGCAGGCTGCACTCAAACTTACCGCAGATGTGAACGCACAGCAGCGCAATTATTGCGTTAATAAAGATCCATTTATCTTTATCGGCCATCGCGAATGGGCTTTTTTTTTCGCCACTGATGGTATTATTTTATTATCCTGATGCCTCCTCGATGGCGTATCACTTATTCGGCTGCGGGGGAGAAAAAGCATAAAGAAAAACATGTTAGTATATTATTTTGCTCCAGGCAAACAATCGGATGAATTGAGAGTCGAAAGGAGGAGAGGAAAATGCACGCAAACACAATTAGGTATTAATATTTTATCGTTAAATCACCATCCCAGTGCTCAGTGTCTGCGGAAGAAAAACGTTTTATGTATCAAGCGGGAGGATGGGATATAAAAATTATGAATAATTCACTATCACAAGCCATAAATCAGGGCCGGTAAAAGCCCAACTCGGCGACTACTGCTGATGCCGATTTCGGTAGGCGTTCAATGGAAGTTGAAAGTCGAGAGGGGAAGAAAAAAAAAAAGTCGAGCGAAAGAATGGTGGTAAACGACAAATTATGATCGTGATGATGGCATTGACGCTGATGGATGCTGCATCAGCGAGGAAGGCAATGGATGTGCGCAATGATTAACGAGAACGACGACGACGACGACGACGACGATGATGATGGATGTCGAGCATATACTCCAGCCTAAGTGGCTGATTGAATTTTTCATCGGCTTTTCATGTTGTCGGGTGATGGCTTTTCAGATAACGTTCCGAAGCAATTAATTGAAGGACTTAATCGGTTTTCGATTGTACTCTTTCTGGATCAATGGATCGCCGGCAGGCGTTTTCATTTAGATTGATAATCATCACCCTTATGGAATATTGATTGGAAAATGTAGTTACGCATTTTTTTTTTCAGGATTTGAGTTCATTCCAGTAATAAATTTGAAAACCAAGCGAAACATCAAAACAAAGCTTTTTTTGTGTGTCTACACTAGGGTGTAAAGCCCAGTTTGTGGTTCTGTGTTAATTACTACCGTATACTCCCCTAAAGGTACACCTTTGACTTCGTGCACGGTGGCTCAGACCGACTCAACATTGAGTCGAGTCAACTCAATTTAATCAAAAGTGGATTTACTTAAAAGTTGGTTGAATTTTCCGGGCTTTTCCAGGAAAAACTTCTAGAATATGAGGAAAACCGAGAGAGGTTTCACTCAGCGTATTAGTGTACTCCTAGACTTAATAAAATTGTTATGGATTTTTCTCATATGCGAGAAGTTTGTTCTGGTTTTCCACGGCTTTTGCCCGGAATTGAGTCGGTCTGAACGTTGGTGCAAATTTGCTGAAAGGGTTTTTGTTCCGGTTTCGGTCTGGTGACCACCACGCTGAGGGTATTTCAACAAGATCCTGTGAGAATACATTCCGACACGGATGCTATTGTTAGCTCTGTTCCTGCTGCTGCTGCTGATGGTTAGACTTTTACCATAATTGTTGCATGAAGTCAATTTGCTCACCGGCGTCTGATTGCCCTCCACGGGGAGCAAACATTTTCCGACTGCGAGAGTAAATTTGATTGTAATACAAACCGTGCGAGGTCGTACGTAACCTTGAGAGTGTTTCTTGTGATTTTGTGATGTTGAAGGGTGGTAACTGAGATGTTAACGAATAAAAGGTATGCAAGCAACAACAGTATTAGCAAAACTGTTAAATGTATTAAAGAGGATTACTTTCCATATAACTGTAAAGGTAAGATGTTATGCATTTACTGGTCAACAACATGATCCAATCAGTCAGCATTGTGAACGGTTCCAACGGAAAGCAATGGGTGTTTTTAAATCGCTGGTGGAACTTCATTGGAAAACCCGATTAACTCTGGCGTGGACTAAGTCAGCGAACCGACGAACGAACAGCTTGTAATACCGGAGCCAGACATTATTCTTCAAGAATGCAACGCCAGTGTCTAAGGGATGGAAGAAATAAGAAGAATACTGGACATAATTAAAGGCCTCTTGGAGCAGGTACTTCAGTTTGCAACAAATTTTAACAAGTCAATGCAAGTACGGAAGTCTGGAAAAGCAGCACCGGAAAAAAAGCGGGAAGCTGAGATGTTTCCAGAGAACGAAGCACTTTTTCCTGTTGCAATGCAAGATCAGTTGTTGCTTCTCGAATGCAAACTACAAAACAAACAATATGAAGACTGCTGCTTCTGCTATTTTGATAGCCAGTATTCGTTAACCGGAAAACGCGAAGGAGCTCCGTTCGGTAAGACTGTACTCAGAAAATGTTTGATTCCTACGATTCTTTCACCATTCTCTTTGAAAGGAAACAACACAAAAAGAAAGAGTTCTAGAGCTCTGCGGTTTTTTCTTGAAAACACTTATAGACTTGTGACCAGAAAGTGAACACTGGAGGCCACTGGGTGACCTTCCAGAACATACAGAACAACCTTAAGAGTGTTCAGCTCATAAAATTTGTTGTGGATATCCGCGTTTTTTTAAAGGACTTCTAGAAGACTCATTAGAATGAATTTGGACTTGCTTCTGGAAAATGGAACTTGAGGGCCACGGGATAACGATTCGGAAGGTTCCACTTACTTCCCTTACCAATCAGGCTAAGGCCTTGTTGTCCTCTGCTGTCCGAAAAAGTCGTCTCAACTCTACTCGATCCATGGCCACACTTCGCCAACCTTGTAGTCTGCGAAGGATCCGCAGGTCGCCTTCTTCTTGGTCGATCCACCTTGCCCGCTGCGTTCCTTTTCTTCTTGTTCCTGTTGGGTCGCTTTCTAGAACAATTTTCACTGGGTCGTCGTGCTGCATTCTTACGACTTACCCAGCCCACCGTAGTCGGCCAATTTTTGCAATGTGGACGATGGATGGTTCTCCCAGCAGCTGGTGTTATTTGTGGTTCATTCGCCTCCTCCACGTTCCATCATCCATCTGCACTCCACCGTAAATGGTACGCAACACCTTCCGTTCGAAAACACCAAGGGCGCATCCCAAGTAACAATTTTGGTTTTATGAGGGTTCTGTAGACCATGATTTAGACTTGTAGAATGCTATAAAACCTCGATAAAACCTAAAATGTTACTTGGGATTGGTCCTCCACGAGCATAGTCCAGGTCTCGTGGCCGTAGAGGACCACCGGTCTAATCAGCATCTTGCAGACAGTCAACTTCGTGCGGCGGCGCATTTTATTCGACCGGAGGACGGAGGACGCTCCGGAGTCCAAAGTAGGCACGATTCCCTGCCATAATGCGTCTTTGAATTTCTCTGCTGGTATCATTTTCGGCGATCACCAGTGAGCCCAAATACACGAACTCATTGACCACCTCGATTTCGTCACCGTCAATCTAAACTCGGGGTGGGAGGCTAACATTGTCTTCCCAAGAACCTCCTACTTTCATGTATTTTGTCTTTGATGCGTTGATGGCAAGTCCAATCCGCCTAGCTTCAGCCTTCAGTCTGATATACGTTTCCGTCATCATCTCAAAGTTTCGTGCCATAATGTCAATGTCATCGGCGAAGCTAAGAAGTTGAATGGACTTCCTGAAGATCGTGCCACTCGTGTCTATCCCAGGACTTCTGATCACACCTTCTAACGCGATGTTGAATAGCAGACACGAAAGTCCATCACCTTGCCGTAGCCCCCTTCGAGATTCAAAGGGACTCCAGAGTGTCCCCGATACTCGAACAACGCACATTACTCGATCCATCGTCGCCTTGACCAATCGGGTCCGTTTATCTGGAAATCCGTACTCGTGCATAATCTGCCATAGCTGATCTCGATCGATTGTGTCGTATGCGGATTTGAAATCGGTGAACAAATAATGTGTGGGCACGTTGTATTTGCGGCATTTCTGCAGAACCTGCCAAATCGCGAAAATTTGGTCCGTGGTAGCGCGGGCACCCATGAATCCCACCTGGTATTGCCCCACGAACACTCTTGCAAATGGTGACAGGCGGCGGCATAGAATTTGGGAGAGTACCTTGTAGGAGGCGTTCAGCAGTGTGATCGCACGGTAGTTGCAGCAATCCAACTTGTCGTCCTTTTTGTAGATTGGGCATACGACACCTTCCATCCAGTGCAGCGCTCTAGCCAGTGCTTCACCACCTATTTTAATAGCTCACTTGGTAGTTGATCTACACCAGTTGCTTTGTTATTCTTCAACCAACCGATTTCCTCCTCAACTTATTGAAGATCAGGGGCCGGTAGCCTGTCGTCTTCTGCGCGTGCTCCAAGGTATGTTGCCGTGTCACTTTCGTTTTCTGCTGCTTCACCGTTGAGGTGCTCGTCATAGTACATGTTGATTCACGGTATAAACACACTATAGCCAGCGTAGTAGGGTAGGCGTAGCATAAAAGCTATAGTCTAACTTGCGCTGAACAACTGCAGTATTGTACGAAATTTCACGAAAGCTACCGACTGTACCGAACTTATACGAAGTGGCCGTTTCTTCTCGATATTGTCGACTGTCGATACCTCACCCATGATTTAGGTTTAGTTATCAAATAGTACTTTGGCACGGCTGGGCACCGAATAAATAATTAGAAGTAGTTAGTGTAATAAATGCAGTATTAATCGTTAAATAAAGTGTTTGCCTAAATGTAATAAGTGTGTTGAGCGAATAAAGTGTCTGTAAAGTTGTACGAAAGACTATGTGTGATTGTGTGCAATAAGAAGAAATTTCCCTTCAAAGAGTTTTTATATCGAAGAACACAACCTGCTCATCTGATAAAGGAAGAGCTCAATTCTATCACGGATCGTCGGATTTTGTGTAAGAACATTATTTTCGGAGGCCACAACATTGGTGCCGTGACCAGGATAGCGTTTCTTTGGAACTTACCGACGCCAAGAAGCCATTGGAACATCGGACAATTGGATTGGCGCTATTCTCGCTCGCTGCAAAGGCACGAGGCGCCATCACGATCATTGAGCACGTGATTTTACTGGGGGCTGCCATCACGAATTTCGTAAGCATGGACAACTGGGCACAGCCATAACGTTTTTTAGAATTGAAATCAAGGAGAGATTGAACAATTATACAAGGCTTATTAGATAGGCCTACAAGGTGAAGACCTGTCCAACTCCTTACTTTCCGCTTTCATATCTACCTGGCCATTTCTTGGTTCTCGCATTTTAACTACTTCGACGGAGGTTTTGGTGGCCGGATAGTTTTTCTACATTTCCTTCGT